CGCGGAGGGACGGCAGCGCATCCCCCCCGCGGGGCCGGGCGGCCCGGCGAGCTGCTCCGGGGAGCGACGTTCACAAACGGGCGGGGTTTAGCGCTGCGGTACTTGGCGCGGCAGGGGTTAAACTTAGGCCTGATCCAAGCGCGGGGAAGCGCTTTGGTGAAACCCCTTCAGGCCTGCACTGAGACAGGAGCGCTCCCGCGCCACAGTGCGGCTTGGTCTTGCCTAAGTTGAAGGACGCTGTTGGAGCTGTACTGTGGCTAGAAAAAAAAATGGCTAGCACTTGGCTAGTTCTGAGGAGAACTCCTCAGAACTCCTTGCTAGGTCTGTGCAAGGCACTTGCATGCTACTCAGAGGCCTCCTAGCCGAGGCGGCACAGGCGTTCCCCTGCCTGCAGACCCAGTCCCAGCGAGCAGAAAACCCCCCAGCCTGCCCCAGGTGGGACTGCACGTTCCACGGATTCTGCCGTTCTCTCCCACGGGAAAAACCACAGCCGCTGGTGGCTACTCTGGCCCTGCAGAGACCACAACTGTAGAGCTGTAAGGATGAGATGGCTTAGCGCTATTTAGACAGTGTGTGGCGAATCCATTTTATAATTCAGCACAGCATTGTGTAATAGCATGGTCCCGTGACGCAGGAACATTTACTACCCAGTCATGTTTCAGTCCATTACAGGTTGGGACGCTGGTTCCCCTTCCTCGTTTGTTGTTGCATTTTAACTGACCCACAGAAAGATGTGATTCTTGCAAGAACCGAAGAGTTGCGTCCCACAGTCCTCAGTCCCTTCCCGGAGCCGACACCTTTCTGAAGAAAGTTCAGCCAATCACTCCTTCGTGAGTCCCACGTGCTTCAGCGGTGCCGCTTTAGACAGATACTGAATTTACTGCTGCTTCCCATACACCTTATTAAGGAAGTGTGTTCGGCTGCCTGGAATTCTGTTGTCTGAAATAGGGCTCCCTGTTCTTTTAGAAGCAAATGAAAGCCATAAGCCCTAGTTTTCCACTGGGGGGAAAAAAAAAGATTGATATAGAAACCTATCGACAGAGGATAAAAATGTCGTGAGAAAAGAAAAGTAAGACTTAGTAAATTAAGCTAAACCTTTAACTTCCCTCTCCAGGTGCCCCTTAAGAGAGGCTGGAGCTACGGCTCTGACTTTCGCCCTGCTCTGTGCCACGAAACCTGCAGCCAGCCGAGGGGCCGAAACACCCACCCCAGGGAGGAAGGTTCGCTAGTCACAGCCAGCGAGCGTCTTTCCTTCCCCGTCTCTCTGCTACCCCCGCCCGGCTCCTGACGACTCCCCTACGGCACGGTAAGCCGCACTTCGGGAGACGACGCTACCCGCCGGCGCTGCCCGGCCCTCGCCGCCCACGGACTCCC